CGCTAAATCCATTCTGTGAATGAGGAAACTGAAACTCGGAGAGGTGAAGTGATTTACCAAATGTCTCATAGCTGACGACCAGGAGCAAGAATTACTATGCTTCTGGAATCAGGCTGGTGACTGAAATGGCTCCTTTGACCTAGGTGCCTGTGGTAGACAGCGCCAATATATCCCTCCAGCCCCAGCTCCTGACTCCCACTTCCCAGTATACAGCTCTTATGTAATCCCCTCTGTCACTTAACAGGAGTGATCTGTGAAATTAACAGACGCTGTGGGGATGACAGAGTGTGACTTCCTAGGCTCTGAAAGTCATCAGGCTCTGTCTTGCTTTCCTGGATCACTTTGTGCTAGGGAGAGTCGGCTGCTATGCCACGATAACACTCAAATGGCCTGCACAGGCTTTGCATGGCAAGGAGCTGAGGCCTTGTCTCAGTAGCCAGGGATAACTAACTCCACAAGCATTGTATGGGAGCCATAGCAAAAGAGGACTCCAGCACCAGCTGACATCTTTGACTGCACCCTTCTGAGAGGCCCTGAACCAGGATCACCCCAGCTGGGTCACTCTTAGATCCTGTACCACAAAATGAAGATGATAAGTGCTTATTGTTTAGAGCTGCTCAGTTTGGGATAACCAATCACATAGCAATAGAGGACTAATATAGTAACAACAGAGCAGGTTACAGAGCTTTCTTCCTCAATGTAAGACGAAGATGGCAATAGTAAGTGCATCATGAGGTTGTTGTGAGGATCCTGCACCCAAGATGCCTGGCCTACAGTCTGCACACAGTCCAAGCACTCTACAACAACAGTCTACATGAGCCCTCTCCCATTTCCAAAACCGTCTTCAGGCAACAACTGGGTATTCAAATATGGAGGCTAGTGAACCAACCAGGGACACAGAGGCAAGGGCCTGCCCACCACTTCACCACTGGGGGCTGCCTTCTTGGCAGCACCAGAGACTCAAGAATTCCCACAGCTGGGGGCCTTTAGGAGCCTTCATATCTCCCTCCCCACTTCAATGCAAGTCTCCTTGATATACCTTTGTGAGTGTAAATCCACTACATAGAAAATTCTTTCTTCAGGAAAATCCCTGTTACCATGTAAAAATGTCCAGATTTCAGCATCACTCTTCACAGCCTGCTCAACATCTTTAATATCTCCAAAGGCAGGAAGCATATCCCTTTGGAGCCTTCTTTTTTCAAGCTAAGTACCTCCGTCTTCTCATAAATAAGCACAAAGTTGGCAGACAGCATGACAGCTCCCCCAACAGAGAAGACAGAGAAAGCAGGGACCTGAAGCAAGCCAGCACAATGACCAATTAAGAGAAGAGGCTGGTGCCTTCCAGAGAAACCCCAGAAGTCCATACGGTCTTATCTAAACCCCACCAGCATCAACACCCCACTGGGCTTAAGATCTTGTAGGATTAGGAAGGGCTCATAAACTGCATATCCTAGACAACCAAGCCCTTGTACAATGGCTGTATCCGCACTAAAAAGGGTAGGAGCTGTGTAGTCTGCTCTAGTCAAGCCTACAGCTCAGACAGGCCTGGGTTGAGTCCTTCTTACACAGTCTATGGCCAATGTTACATTACCTACGTGCAGGTGAACTGATAGTAATCTTAGGGCTATTTTTTAGATTCAAAACGTTCCCACAAAAGTCTCATGTGTTGGAAGGTGACTGGACCATGGGGATACCATACTCATCGGTGGAACTGCCCATTGATGAGCTCCATAGCTGAATGTGCTGTTAGGAGGGGAGCCTGGTGAGAGGTGAGTCACTAGGGATGTGACCTAGAAGGTGTATCCTTGTCCCCGGGTCCCCCCTCCTCTCTGTTTCCTTGCTGCCACAGGATGAGCAGCTGTCCTCGCCAGGCCCCTCCGCCATGCCATTTCTGTGTTGGAGTCAGCCTACTTGGGACCAAACCACTGGAAAGAGTGAGCCAAATAACCTTTCCTCCTTAAGTTGCAGGTATTGTGTATTTTATCCTAGTGGCAGGAAAGTGACCAATACAACCAGGAAAGGACAAAATCTTTAGGGAATTAGGATTTCACAGGGCCAAAGATGTTGTTCAGTGGTAAAGCGTTTGCCTATCATGTGTGAGGCCTTGGGTTCCATCCCAGCACTGCAGGTGGTGGTGGTGGGGCATCTACAAATCAAATTGCTATTGGCCTTACAATCACCTACATCCTTGGTTTTCATTTTGTCTGTGGGCTGTGGGCGAGTTGTTCCAATCTGATCTGCAGCCTCCAGCCCTACTCTAAACCTATACAGTCAGACCTCCAAGGAGGAAGTGCAGTCATCTAGCTCGGTGTTTTTGATCTTACAGATCAATGATTTTAATATACAACCAGGGATGAAGGCACCAGTCTTCAGGCCTCCTAATCTCTTGGGAGCACACATCCTCCCTGGTGGGCATCGTGTTCTCAGATGATGGCCTCTGCTTCCGGAAAGTTTTACCTACCTCAAACTCACAACTGTCCCTGCTCATGACTTGCACACTCTGGGGTGATCTAGCCATAACATGGCAGGCATCCCCAGTAGGAAAAATTCCAATTTTCTGTCTTCTAACAATAATAACAAGAATGAAACAGCTGGGGAAGCTCTAGGGTCCTTCTTTTGCCTATAGTTTTGACAAGGAGGAATAAACTCTTCTATTTTTAGCTAACACACTACAGATCCAAGGAGTTCAGTTCTGGGGTTTCTCCAGATATCTCAAAGCAGTTAGCTCTGAATCTCCACTCTGTGTGAGTCACCTGGCAAACTTTCACAAAATAGGTTGACTGGGTTCCAGATCCCAACCCACAGACCCAGATTCCATGGTCTAGGGTAGGTCTGGGTACCCCAGCTTTCAAAGGCTGCCCAGGCAATTCTGAGGGGGAGCCACAAATAAGAATCACTCTTCTGAGCTAAAATCTCAAAGACAAAACATCTCCAGTTAATGTCTTGCTATAACTTGAAACAAGGATGCCTTCATGAGGTACCTCCCATGCTGCAGTGCCTGGGATGGTGTCTTGGTCCAGCCCTGGACATGGCTCTATAGTGGTAGAAGCCCCCACCTGTTTCCCTCCCACAATCAACCTGGGCAGGTACACCAACCACACTGCTTCCCTTGGCATTCACGATCAGGAACAAAGCCCCAAATATCTAAACTATTCCATATTAAAGCTACGCAGAGAACAAAATGAGAAAGAGCTTCAGCGGAGAACTAAGACAACTATCACACTACTCAACCCAAAGGCTTCAAGGGCTAGTGAGCTGTTACTGTTAATTAAAGAGGATGAATCGTCCCACATTAGAACAAAAATAAAAAAGATGAAGTCAGCCCGTTAAAAGAAAACAGTATGCAAAGCTGTGTTCCTCAAGCCCAGTGAATACAACACACACAGTATGACAAGTCATTGCCACATCTTCATATACAGGCTGAGTGCAGCTGGTGGCACTAGTTTTGTCTTAATTTCTAGTAAATGAACACTGGCTCTCAGAAGGCCTGGATACTTTGGTTGGCTGTGTATTCGGTTGTGTGGTCTTTTTCAAAGTCTTGCCAGTCCCGTGCTGCCAAGTTAAGCATGTTTTGGAGTGACCCCATGATTGCAGCAAACACTGTTTGGCCTATCTTCCTACTCATACTGTGTTTCTCTGAACTCTGCTCGTCTCTCTCCCAAGATTGGGCTCCTCAGACATGTCTGCCTATCTTGACAATGTCCTGTTGACCTCAGGTGATGGAAACATGAGTAGATATTTGACCAAAGTGGGCTGGAGAGAGGGTTGTTGGTCTCAGTGTAGGATGTCAGCTTAAATGGGGTTAATGCAAGTGTGGCCCTTTGGGAAGGTCAAGTTGGATGGCTGGGGGCAGAGCCTGCAGGTGGTCCTTTGCCTCCTCCCTACTCCCTTTCTCCTCCATAGATTAACATTGTAGAACCTGGATAGCACAGCCCCAGGAAACAGTTACATTCTGTATCCTTCTTCCTCCTTCCTTTTCTGCACATGTCCCGATTTCGAGATAATCACACTACATTCAGCCTAGGCCATGTAGGCTACAGAGCACTAGCTACCCCACCTTCTGTTCCTGTTTGTCTTATACTATAAATAAAGAGTGTGCTGGACTCCAGGCAGCCATTAGCTCCTCACAGGCTCTGGATCCACCTGGTCCCAGCTTTCAAGCATAATCTTGGTATGCATCCTTCTTTCTTGTTGTTTTGCAATTTTCTTCATCTCTCCTGACTCCCTGGCTTTGGACCTCATGCTGTGCCAGTAATGGACCACGTGTGCAGACAGGAAAGAGGGCAGAAGAGAGGAGGGGGAAGCCGAGGTCAGAAGAAGGACTGCCCACATGCTGGGGGCTCCCAGGCTACCTGAGCTCTCTGTCCACAGATGATGCTGTGAAATGCCCCTGTGCCCCTGAAATAAATGTCTCTTCTGCCTTTTCTGCCTCTTTGAAATGAATTTCTGCTACTTGCTAACAAGAAAAGAAACCAAGAATAAACTAAACAGCCAGACATTTCCAGAAATTTGTTTTTCTTTTCAAAGACTCTTTTTCTCTTGTTGTTTCAAAAGGTACATGTGCATTTAATGTAAATATGTACGCAATGTGCTGTGGCAGCTGATATCAAAATCAAACAAGAAAATCACCAGAATCTGGGGTCAGCTAAAAGAAAGCTCTCTAGAAAACTTGCCCTCACCTGTCCTTGACAATGAACACCTTCATCCAGGGCAGCCTGGGACAAGGAGGAGAGCTTCTGGGCTGCTCTCAGATGTGCAGCCCTGCCTGTGGGCATCAACTGCTGCGCTGTTCTAGAATGGGCCAACAGGTAATGTTACATAACGCTACCTCAAAGAATGGGCACTGATGTTAATGGGACTGGGTTTAAATCAACAATGTGCATCGATAGGGGTTTCAAGAGAGAAACCAAGAAACTGAGTCACTCAGTTCACAAGGGCTGGCTGGGCCCTTTCTTCCTGGCCACAGCATTAGTACAGAGTATAAAGGACAAAGTACAGACCTCCGGCTGGATGGCTTTAAACACAGGGATGTCCATTAGTGTGATCTGGCTCTGCAACGAAAGACAGGTGAAGTTAGAAAACCTGGACATCAGAGACATCTGGCGTGTTACTTTAGATCTACGCAGAGTAATATACATTCACAAAAGTTGTACTTTCCCCGGTGAAATTTTTTTTAAAAGGTAGAGTAAAAAACTGGATATATTTCTTATTACATTTAAGTTAATTTTTAACTAATACATTAAAACAGTTACATGTTTATGGAGTACCATGCAATGGTTTCATACATGTATACACTGTGTAATGTTTAAAATATTTAAATGTTTGAAAGGACAGGTGTTGAACCTGAAACATACCTATCTTCTCAAACATTTCTCATTTCTTTATGGTAAAAACATTCAAAACCCTTTCTTCTAGTTTTTTGAGATATACAATACATAGCTGTTATTATAATCACCCTACTGGGCAATAGCACTCTAGAAGTTCTTTCTTTTATCTAATTTAAGATAGCATCCATCGCCAGGCGTGGTGGCACGCCTGTATTCATTTCTTTATGGTAAAAACATTCAAAACCCTTTCTTCTAGTTTTTTGAGATATACAATACATAGCTGTTATTATAATCACCCTACTGGGCAATAGCACTCTAGAAGTTCTTTCTTTTATCTAATTTAAGATAGCATCCATCGCCAGGCGTGGTGGCGCACGCCTGTAATCCCAGCACTAGGGAGGCTGAGGCAGGAGGATCGCTGTGAGTTCAAGACCAGCCTGGACTACACAGTGAGTTCCAGGTCAGTCTCAACTACACAGTGAGACCCTGTCTCAAAAAACCAAAACAAAACAAAACAAAAAGATAGTATCCATTGCTCAATCTTTCCCCATCCTCTATACCCTCTCCCATTCTCCCCAGCCTCTGGCAACCACCATTCTACTCTAAGCTTCTGTGAGACCAACTTATCTGTCTTCCACATGTGGGTGAGATCAAGTGGAACTCGTCTTTCTATGCCTGCCTCGTTTCTCTTAGCTTCCATCCATGTTACTGTGAATGACAGGACTTTCTTCTTTTTGCTGGACAAGTCTTTTGCCACTGTGTGTATGTATCACACCTTCTTTACCCATCATCGGTTGATGGGCACCTAAGTTCTTTCTATTTCTTGGCTCTTGTGAACAGTGCAACAATGAGCATGACAGTCTCGGAGGTATACGCAGTCGTAGGCTTGATGGATAATATGATAGCTCCACTTTTAAATTTGTGAGGAGCTTCCATACGATTTTATATAATCACTGTACTAACTTATAGCATGCAAGGGTCCCTACCTGTTCACATCCTCATCCACACTTGTCCTCAGTTTTTTTGATTACAGCTATTCTGCCTGGAGTAAGATGATATCTTATAGTTTTGATTTGTGTTTCCTTGATAATTAATGAAACTGAACATTTTTTTAATGTGCCCATTCGCCATTTGTATGTCTTCTTTGGGAAATGTCTATTTAGATCTACTGCTCATTTTATGAGGAATTTTTGTTGTTGTTGTTTTTTGCTCTTGAGCTGTGTTCCGCAGTTCCTTATATATTCTGGACACTAACCCCTTGTCAGGTGTATAGTTTGCAAATATTTTCTCCCATTGTATTGTAGGCTGTCTCCTCACTCCGATGATTGTTTCCTTTGCTGTGCAAAAGCTTTTAGCTTGATGTAATCCCCTTTGTCTATTTTTTTTTTCAGGGTCCTGTCCAAAAGAATCCTTACTACCATTCCAATGTCCTGAAGTATTTCCCCTGTGTTTTATGCTAGTGGTTTCATAGTTTCAGGTCTTACATGCAAGTCTTTAATTCATTCTGGGTTGTGTTTTGTAACTGGTAAGAGACAGGGGTGAATTTCTGACATGTCTTTCCCAACCTTTTTTTTCTCTTCATAAATCTTAATTCACACCCTTCTTTCTTGAATATTAGGTGCCATTGCAACTTAAGAATTGATAACAGTTATTTGGAGGGTGGGGTTGGGAATAAGGGAACATTTTTAGTTTGGAAATTTTTATACTATTCGGGGTTTTGTTTCAAGCATGAATTACTTCTGTAGTTTTTAAATGGTGCAGATACAATATTAAAAATTACAATGCTAACCAGAGACACTATCTATTACTCTAAACTTAAAATTATTTTAAGTTGTGGCTTATAGAAATTATACTTCTCTTCTGAAGTCTATGCCTCTCCTAAATTATACAGTAGAATGCTATTCAAGATGCATCCAGAGACCAATCTGGGGTCACAAACTGTTTATTCTCCCAGTCCACAATGAGATCAGTACAGAAGCTGAGAGCAAGCACTGGGAAAACTTTCTAGCAATATGATGCGGCCACAACATTTCTATTGTATTTGTTTTAAGTACCAGTCCTCAGCAGATTGGAAAAGAAAGAACTTGTCCTTTACCACAGCCAACTTAAGGGCACACTAATCCCAATAACACAGAAAACACACATCAGGTTAAAAGGCTGTGCCCAAAGTTAGAAGCTCATCTGGGGGCAGTAAGAGAAGACATTGCTACTGACAGTTCTTCAGCCAGTGCATGGACTGATGTGACTTCACATGACAGATGTGATACCTCCACTGAACATGGGACATCTGGATGATCTGACACTGTGAAATAAACTGGGACTCACTAACCTTAAAATTAACGTTTAATCTTAAATTTTAGTTTAGAGTAATAAATAGTATCGCTGGTTATCACGTAACAGCAACATTCTCTGATATGTGACCTAACTTCTCCCAATCTCAAGGAACACATCTAGAAAATGGTGACAATAATCCCTCTTATAGGAAATAAATACATGATAGATACATATATATAAAATGAGAATGTGAATTTATAGTTCCTGACCAGTTCTAGGACACTAGGAAATAAGGGATCACTGGTTGACATTCCAAGCACTGGGGTGGCTCTAGATAAAGATGAAAGGGAGCTGTTAACATTGAGTCAGGAGAGAGCGTCCCATCAAAAATACACTGGAGAAAAAAAACATTAAAGGAAAATGGCAATACATATAGTATGTCACCTGCGACCACAATCCAGAGCTTAGGTGCATAATTGTGGCCAGCTCTTGGCGCAAGGCAAAGATAGTCCAAGGTCACTGGGTTGCTGAGACACACAGGATACTGGCCAAGGCAAACAACTCCAGAACTGAAGGGGATGGGGGGACAGATGGCCTCAGAAGAGAGCTTCTTTGTCCCCTTTCAAGGGCCACTGCTTCTCATGGGCATAGAGGTGAAACGCTGTCACTAACTAAAGCTTAAGAGACAGAAAGGAGATACCACCAGGAATGGGAAGCCTTGAGAGGAACCTGAGCTCCTCTACCTCCAGATCCCCTCAGTGGTAGTAAGGGGGCATCTGACATCACCACTTCCTACATCTGGTCCTCATGCTCTTAGCCTCAAGTGACCAGTAAACCTGAAGGCCTACAGGCTCCTGTCTGGCACAGGTTACCGGACCTGGAGTATATTCTGGGCAGTGCAAACAGACTAGCATTTCTTCTGCCAGACCCATGAAGATTATGAGCCAAGTGCTCCTCGAATTTGGATTAATTCTGCCATACTGGGGAACAGAAAGACCTTGTGAAAACAGGAGATCAAGCTCAGAGGGCCTTGGAAATCTTTCCTGCAGTTCAAGTTAACTCCCTACCCGGGAGAACCGGCAGGATGTTTGCAATGTCATTTAGGAAAAGAACCAAAAGTCTGCTAATATGAAAATGAGAAAACTTCCTTTCCATCCTGCCATCAGTTCTAGGGTTTGCTACTGAATTTCCAAATGATTTATTAAAATGATGACTTTACATTTCATGTTTGTTTGTTTGTTGTTTGTTTTTTTGATAGTCCAAGCTTCAAATATCCAGATCCCACTCGGATGGCAAATCAGAAAACGCATGCATTCTATTCAAAACACACAACAGCACAGGTTACCAGGATGGAAACAGACTGGTTGGGCCTAGACACGTGGTGAGGGTTTTCATGAGACTCTGCCCTTTTTTTCCTTTCCACTCTGACCAAAAAAGGATGCAGTGTCCAGGGAGAGACTATAACAACACAAAATACTTAGGAGTTAAAAAAAAAAAACAAACCACTAGATTATGAACTTCATGTCATTTTACTACAAAGCCAAACTCCTGTTAAAAGGTTGCTGACAGCAATCCTTTTCCCCAGAGGCACGAGCAGTCCAAGGGAGTCAGGAACTTGAGGGGCAAGCCCAGCTCGAGGGGCCACAGGGAAGCTGCACCCCCACGCACAAACACTCAGGAGAGATGTCTCAGCTTCCGGGAGACAAGGGCAGACCCCGGGAGATTGTTACTGCCCCCACATAAACACAGACACAGAGGCTCCCACACTAGTTTCCAAACAGTAAGTTTGCAGTGGGGCTGAAGGAACAATCATGAGCAAATCCCTTAATGGCTTATCCTTATTCGGGAAAATTAAATCTTGATACCCGATGTCCAGGCAAGCTGGTCACCTGGAAATACCTCCCTCAGCCTTAAGTCTCTTCTTGACCAGCACCCCTAAGAGCCAGGCTTTTAAGGGAAATGGCCAATCTCTACACATTACGAAGTACTGCACTTCTCTAGAGATGTACACTCTAGACCGCCGAGACCTGTGGGAACACTGCACAGAGTCACCCCTAAGCAAGAAAGTGGTATGATGTGGATAAATGAAAGTGAGTTGGTCAGCCAAACACAAGACTGTTTTTTCTATGTTGGATGTAGTCTTTCTCCCTTCTAACATCAGAAGATTAAATCCTCTCTTCCTAACCATGGCAATAGTATAAGGGTCCTCCAAGATCCCAAATAAACAAATTTAAAAAGCTGTTCACGTATCAATGGTGTGTTTTATAATAGAAGATATTTTAAAATTTACATTTAGATGACTCCACCAATTCAGGTTCAGGAGAGCTCAAAGAACAGAAAGTATTCAGTTCTAAAGATACATTCCTTAGATACACATACTCCCAGAGCCACAGGAAGTAAACTTCTGGCAGTTCTAGAATCACAGTTAGAAGAACTCAAATGCAGGTTAC